GGGAGACACGAATCTGAAGCAGGCCCCAGGCTCCGAACTGTCAGTGCAGAGCCTAACACGGGGCTCACATTCATGAACTGTGAGATGCTTAACCGACTGAGCTACTTGGACGCTCCAGAATCAATGTGCTTTTTAAAAAGTTTATTGAGGTGTCAATAATAGAAGCCTTACATAACTCAGTGAGTATTTTCCAAATGATTGATGAATGATATTCGTAAAAGATCCATCCAAGACAGACAAATAGATTTTACTGAAAAACTTAGAAAAGTTCATTGATATGGTTTCACATTCTACTTTGCAACTAACCATTAATAAACTACTTGACTGTGTCAAACAATATTCACAAATCATCTAAAATGGCTAGCCCTTTTCCAAATACATATTTGTATGAGACTGAACTTTATTCAAATACTTCCACCAAAACAACAAATTGCAAGAGAATGGATGCAGAGACAGATAGAAGCATCTAGCTATCTTCAACTGTCTTAATGTTTTAAGTATAAGACAGATTTGTAAAACTCTAAGACAGCAACACTTCCACTAATTGCTTTAAGCTTGGGAAATAGTTATTTTTTCGTTAAAACATTATCTGTGGGGTGCCTGGGTGGCTCAGTTAAGCGTACGACCTCAGCTCAGGTCATGATCTCATGGTTCGTGGGTTCGAGCCCCTCATCAGTCTCTGTGCTGACAGCTCAGAGTCTGAAGCCTGTTTCAGATTCTGTGTCTCCCTCTCTCTGCTCCTCCCCCACTCATGCTGTGTCTCTCTCTCAAAAATAAACACTAAAAAAAAATTTTTTTTTAAACCATGTTATTTGTGTTTACATGATACAGGTTTGTTATTATTTTTAAATGAATAAACATGTAAAAGTTTGTATTTTAATTTCTACTCCAAGTAAATATCAATTACTATAAGCCACAAAAACAAAAGTTCTTTGGGATTCTTAATAATATTTTAAGATTATACAGGGATATGGAAACCAGAAAGTTTGAGACACACTAGAGACTTGAATTCCTATATTTTCTTGCATATCTGTAATCCTGATTTTTAAATAAAATTTTGTACTCATTATTTAAGCTTAGATAAATATGCTCAGTTCCTTAGATCATTTCAGTCTCAAAATAATGTAAGAACAGAGAACTAAAGCCTTTATAAAATTCCTAAGAAAATGTTATTTTGTTGTTTAAAAATATTACCTGTATTCACAGGGGTTGGAAAGGATGTTGGTGCACTCTCACTTACATTCCTTTTGGACTCCAGCATCTGTCTCACTGTGCCTGCATTTCTACAAAATATACATATATACATACACACAAATAGTCAATGCAAATGCCATTCCGGAGGACATCAATATATGAATAGAGAAAGCAGTGGTCCATAGGGGGAAAAGGGCGACTAGATTTGGGTACTATAGCACTAAAGTGCAAATGAATATGCTGAGGCCAAGATGGCACAAAGATTTCAGCACGCTGGGGTCTATGGCATTAAGGAAGAGTCTTTCTCTTAGATTCTAATGTCCTTAACATTTTTACCAAAATACCGAACGTATATCCTAGTATTTGTAGACATTTGTTCTTATTACCCCTAATCAAAGCATTTCTCAGTTACTTTGAAAGAATTCTATTTAACACAAGTTGTTAAATCTTAAATGACCAAAGAAAAGCCTTATAATAAATTAGCAAAGCCAGTAACCAACCACAAATGAATAATTATAGCAAAACAAAACAAATAAACAAACAAAAAATCTATTTAATTTAGGATACTAAACTTCTCTACAAAATAACTAGAAATATACTCCAAAACATTCTTATAAAATAAAGAGAATCAGAACCTTGTTCTGTTAAAAATCTGACAGATTGTTTACAATTCTCACCTGTATGGCACATTGTTATTATTGCTGTTGACGTCAACCACAGACTTTCCTGGTGATACAGGTGGGTTTGGTGGATTCTGGGGGAGAAAAACACCCAGGTAAAATAAAACCCAATACAAAAGGAGTCTTTAAAAATAAGACCTTAACTAGACCTACTGTGATCATTTCATAATGTATATAAGTGTTGAATTATTATGTTGTGCACCTGAAACCAACTTAATATTAAAAAAAAAACAAAACCCTGATGTGGTTTCTCAACATATTATCTGTTACTTCCATAATATAGTAGAAAATATTACTACATGAGACAAGAATTTGAATCTTGGCATTACCACTTGTTAGCTGTGCCTTAAACAAATTAATCTGTTGAGACAACTGCTTATCATGTGAAAGATTAATATAATAATTCCTATACCTCAGTTTTTAAGATGAGTAAATAAAATGATGTGAAAACGGTTTACGTGCTGATAAATATTAATAATATGAATCTAAAGAATAACTAGACATACTCATTTAATAAATATCTAGTGAATGCCTACTATATACCATGCGTAGCAGGCACCAAATTACCAACAGAAACTCAACAAACAAGGTACAAATGTATTCCTTCCCAAAATAGGTGGTTACCAATTAAGTGGTGCCTAAGGTCACAAATCAAAATTCTCAAATCGAAATTATTTTTACAGTTATTGTTTAAAAAATAAATACTTGCCACTAGGTGACATGTAACTTCATAAAAAGATGTCTCAATTCTAAACTTAAGTATCAACTAATTTCATCCTTTACCCCCAAAAACAGGGAATATAGACATGGAATTCTTATACATGTTAATAAGCATTACTTGGGCCTCCATCAGTAATTACACTATAATTATTTACTTCTTAAATGAAAAATATAAATAACTCTCAAGACTTAGTTAAATACAATAAGTATTAAAACAAATTAAATATTGAAGTGCTTAATATTACATCAAGTACATGCTATTAATCACTCTTTTCAATCAACAAATCTTTTCTTTTTAATTTTTTTAAAATGTTTACTTATTTTGAGTGAGAGAGAGAGAGAGAGAGAGTGCACAAGGAGAGGAGAGAGAGAATCCCAAGCAGGCTCTGCACCATCAGCGCAGAGCCCAACGTGGGGCTTGATCCCATGAACAGGAGAGATTATGACCTTAGCCGAAATCAAGAGTCAGAAGCTTAACCGACTGAGCCAGTCAGGCACCCTCAATTAACAAATCTTGATGCTTTTTATAGGATAAAAGGATAATTTTCATCAACAAGTATGGCACTGTATTAGTTATACATGTAGAGAGGTCAAAAGATACAATTACAATATATTACTCTAAAGGTGTTTAAAATCTGTGAACAAAAACATATTAAACAAATAGAAAAACAAATTAAAGTAACTGTGCACTCTCAATTTTAAAAAAGTTTTTAAGGAAAACCTTCAAATAGGTCTTTTGAGTAATTAATTAGTACATTCAAAATAGTTAAGATGAAGGCAAAGAACATTTCATGGAGAAAAACAGAAAAAGGAAAAAAGCATAAATAAATACAATTGGCTTAGAACACAGTATGGTCACTGGATAGAAGTCCTTAAAATAAATACTAGTGTGGTGACATCAGCAAGATGGTAGAATTGGAAGCCCAACACCCTCCTTCTCTCATGCGATAGACCAAACTTCCTTTGTCAGAATTCCAGAAACCAGTCAAGAAGTATAGGACCCCAAGCAATAGTGAGGCCAAGAAGAGATGCATTGTAGTGAGTAAGAAAGTCTGTTGCACTTACCTACCATACCCCAAACCCCTCCCAACACAGTATGGCACAATCAAAATTCCTCACTTGTGGCTTCTCCTTTAAAAAGGAAAGAGAAGAGTGGAACATTCACGCAACATTATGGCTTTTCAGGGTACTGACCGAGGCACTGGTTTCTGTTTCACCTGACCTGAAGGAAGTAGTACATGTTGGATGTCTGGAGGCCATATGAGAACAAGTTAAACCTATCAACTTGGTACAGCACCAGAAAAATTAGAGTAGCACAGACAGAGAGCAGGGGGGACCTCCAAAACAATGGCTTATAAAATGAAAACTATAATATGGAAGACAGATGACGAGGGGGGGGGGCTCCCAAGTAGAAACAGACAAGACTCTTCAGATAAGAGATTACACAAACAACCTCAGTGAAAATGCATCTCTAGAAAAAGTTTGAGAGGTTGCTAGAGTATCTACCTGAGTTGAATAATAAAGGTCTTTTTCTGTATAAATATACTGTGAATAGACAGGGAAAGGTGGCTGTTTTTTCAAGTGCCCAAATTTCAAAATAACAGAAATAGACATACAAAGAAACAGGGAAATACGGCTCCACCAAAGAAATAAATCTCCAGAAACTGACCCTAAAGAAATAGGGATCTATGGATTATCCATTAAACAATTCAAAATAACTGACATACAGATGTTCAATGAGGTAATAGAGAACAGAAACAGAAAACTAAATGAAATTAGAAAAGTGATGCATGAAGAAAATAAGAATATTAACAAATAGAAACTAAAACAGAACCAAAAGAAATTTTGGATCTGAAGAGTAACTGAAATGAAAATTTCATTACAGGGCATCAGCACCAGACTGTACTGAGCATAATAAAGACTTAGTGAACTTGAAGACAAGTCATTTGAAATTATGGAGTTAGAAGAGCAAAAAGAAAAAAGAATGAAAAAAAGGGGAAAGAGCCCAAAGGACTTATGAGAAAATGCTGAAAGGACCAATACATGAATATGGGAATCTAAGAATAGAAGAGAAAGAAAATGAGCAGAAAGTCTTTGAATAATGGCCAAAACTCCCTAAATTTGAGGGTGAAAACTGATAATACAAATTCAAGAAGCTCAGAAACCTCCAACTAGAATAACTCAAAGAGATCTACACTGAAAAACACGGTCAAGGTGTCAAAGGTCACAGATAAGGAATTCTGAAAGTAACAAGAGAAAAGCAACCCACCACATTCAAGGGAGCTCCCATAAGATTATCAGTAGTTTTCTCAGCAGATACCTAGAAGGCTAAAAGGGAGTGGAATGATATATTTAAAATGCTGAAAGAAAAAACTACCAAGCAAGAATACTATATCCAGCAAAACTTTCATTCAAAAATGAAGGCAAAATTAAGACATTCCTAGATAAATAAAAAGCTAGGGAAATTTATGACCATTAGATCTACAATGCAATACAAAAAAATGTTAAGAGGAGTCACTCAAGTGAAAATGAAAGGACATTAGACAGAAACTAGAAAGCACACAAAAAAGATGAAATTCTCTGGTAACAGTAAATACACAAATACAGAATCCTGCATTACTATAAAGTTGGTACATTAAATCACATTTAATTCTTGTATAGAATTTAAACACAAAAATAACCACATTTTTGTTAAAGGATACACAATATAAAAAGATATAATAAAACCAGTAACAAAACTGTGAGGAGAAAATATAAAGACTAGAGTTCTTAAATGTGATTGAAGTTAAGTTGTTACCAGTTTAAAATGGTCTATGTAACCCCCATGGTAACCACAGATAAAATACCTATAGATGATACACATAAGGGAATGAGAAAGAAATTAAAGACTGTCACTGCAAAAATTAAAAATATATAAACAAAACACACAGAATGTAAGCAAGCAAGAAAAAAAGAGATAAAACAGTTCCAAGACAAATAGATAATAATTAACAAAATACTAATTAAGTTCTTCCCTACAGAAATTACTTTAAATCCCAATGGATTAAATTCTCCACAGAAAGACATACACTGGCTTAATGAATAAAACACAAGATCCTGCTATATGCTGTTAAAAATAAACTCACTTTAGATCTAAAGGTATACACAGGCCGAAAGTAAAATAATGGGAAAACGTATTCCATTCAAATGATAACCAAAAGAGAGAAAGGATGACCATACTTACATAAGACACAAAAGAGCTTTTAAAGTAAAAAACTATTACAAGAGACAAAAAGAACATGATAAAAGCATCAACTGACCAGATACAATATTAATAAATATATATGCACATAACATCATGGCTTCTAAATGATATAAACATTGATAGAACTGAAAAACAGATAGAAACACAACAGTGAGAGTCTTCAGTACATCATTCTATATAACGGAGAGATGATCTGGAGAAAAATTCAGTAAGGAAATAGCAAAACTGAACAATATCACAGACCAAATGGACCAAACAGACATTTGTAGAAATTTTCACCCAATGGCAGAAAAATACAAATTTTTCTCAAGTGCACACAGAATATTCTTCAGAATAGATCAGGTTACAAAATAAACTTCACCAAATTTATAAAGATGAAAATGATGAAATATCTTTTCCAACCACAATGGAACAAAAGTAGAAATCAATAGCAGAAGACAAAACGGAGAAGTTACAAATATGTGGAAATTAAAACACACTTAAAAATCTAATAGATAGGGGAACCTGGGTGGCTCAGTTGGTTGAGCGCCAACTTTGGCTCAGGTCATGATCTCATAGTTCATGAGTTCAAGACCTATGTTGGGCTCTGTGCTGACAGCTCAGAGCCTAGAGCCTACTTTGGTTCTGTGTCTCCCTCTCTCTCTGCCCCTCCCCTGCTCGTGCTCTCTGTCTCTCTCTCTCTCAAAAAATAAAATAAAAAACAGTAAAAAAAAATTTTTTTAATCTAATAGATTAAAGAAATCATAAGAGATATTAGAAAATATCTTGAGACATGGGGCGCCTGGGTGGCTCAGTTGGTTAAGTGGCCGACTTCAGCTCAGGTCACGATCTCGCGGTCTGCGAGTTCGAGCCCCATGTCGGGCTCTGGGCTGATGGCTCAGAGCCTGGAGCCTGCTTCCGATTCTGTGTCTCCCTCTCTCTCTGCCCCTCCCCCGTTCATGCTCTGTCTCTCTCTGTCTCAAAAATAAATAAAACATTAAAAAAAAAATTAAGAAAATATCTTGAGACAAATAAAAACAAAAATACAACATACCAAATTTATAGGAAAAATTTATGCAGAAGTAGTACTAAGAGGAAAATTTAGGGGCACTTGGATAGCTGTTAAGTGTC